CATCACAGTGATTGTTTGTGAAGGGGAAGTCCCAGCCTCACATATAAAATCAAATTTCTTTGGACGCCCACATTTACATTAAAATATTACCCACCCAGCGCTGTTTCTATTTCCTAACAGAGAGGTTCTCAAACTGGGGTCCCAGGACTCCCAGGGGTCCACAAGCTGTATCTTAGGGGTCCTCAAAAAGTTATAAATGGTTAATTCTGTTTTTTTTTTTTTTAAATGCACATTGAGAATAATGCATTAGTAAAACAAACATACCAAACCAAACAAAAATACAATTGCCATGGAATTCAGTAAATTATTTTTAAAACCACTTGGGTTTTTTTCCCTGGAAATTTTTCGCCCTTGTAAGGGGACCCCCAAATTGTGTGAGAACCCCTTCCACTTGACTTATACAACACTCACTCCAAGTGTTTACTTAGATAAAATTATGTTTAACAACCTGTTAAAATACAGCAGAATGCAGGAAATGGCATTTATTTATTCARGTTTTTCTGGGGGAGGACCCCCAGACCCCACAATCAGTGATCTTATACACTGTTCTCTCCTATATACCATATAGCCCTGATCACAATTGTTCAAGWAGGGGTCTCTGTAGAACATGTTGTCCTGTGGGTGAATCACGACTAGGGTCTCTCCACCCACAGGACCCCTTCTCCAATTTTTGTCAAAAATCTAAATATACAAATTGGATGATGATGTTATTTAGCAGCTTTTAGCAGYGGCCGAAAGAGAATTTTCTTACTGAGGAGTTGGCAACAGTGTTCAGCGCCTCCAAATCTCACTCCAAGCTCAGGTCAGAACTTGAGAGTCCTGCCAATTTAGGACTGTTTCTGGTAACACACCTACCTTGTCAAGACCAGTAGCCCTAATGGGGACCAAAGTCCAGTCCTAATATGGTGGAACTCTATTTTTGGGTGGGGGTTAGGTTTAGGACTAAGGTGTGAATTGAACTAGAACTGTCCAATAAGCCCAAAATTTTGCTGTCACTTCAGAGTAAAATTTCATTTGTTTTTTTTGTTTTGTTTTTGTTTTTTTAAAACTCCTTCAGATCATAGTAGTTGTCGGCTTAGTGTTTCTGCATCAATAATGCTGACTGGGCTTGTTGTCGTGTTCAGTTTTCACTTTATGCATGACTTTTGTTTTTATAAGTAAAATAATGATTTTCTGACATCTGATTTGGGAAGGTCCAAGTTTAACTAAGAGGTCATTGCATCATTATATTATATTTTCTTGAAATACTTGTAGTTTTGGAAATATTTCGTTGTTTATTTTTTAGAGTTGCTCCTATTTCTTACCCTGTGACAGTCTCCTCCAGACAGCACCTCTTGGATGAAGACCGCGGGACCATCAGGCCTGTTTGAGCCCCCTCCAATGGTGATCCCTAAACTACTGGACCGTGCTACAGAAATGAGCTGAATCACTCCTTCACCTGGGTGACTACAAACAAAAACACAAAAATACACAAAATATGACTGTTTTTTTGGCCAAAATTAGTATATTTATCATCTACATTAAACATACCCAGACTGTTGCTTTGACTCATTCATGCATGCGTGAGAAATCCTTGAATGTCCTGTGGTAAACACGTGGAGCTGCCTAAATGTGTGCTGGTACAAAGCACCACCTATTTACACAAAGCTCCTCTCTGGAGCTCAGTCACCAGCTGACTGCCCACTGCCTTTCATTCCTGAGCTTTAGCCTAAGGTCATCTGATCATGAGAAGCGATGGAGTTATAGCAGTTTTGGTCAAACCTYWAAAATGTTGTGATGTGTGATGAACGTGCTGTGAATGACTCACCTACTATCACACCAAATTTTAGCTCAATGGCTAAAACTGATAAACTCTGGAGGCCATCTTTAATTGTATTGACATTGRAAGTCAATCACATGAGACGGCACACGGCATTCGTTTTAAAGGTCTCATCAAAAGATCKATAACTCTGTCAATTCTAAACATAAATAATTTTTTTTCCTGAACTTCTGGCATGAGAGACATCAGGGCAAATGCATTTCTGCAAAAAATGTTTTCCTTTCATCCACTCCAGTCAGCAGGGGTCGCCACAGTGAACAAACTTGCATAAAAGATTTGGCAAGTGTTTTACCCCAGATGTCCTTCCTGACAAAACCAGGATTACAAGACCACTGCACTGACCACCAAGGCACTGCAGCCTCCATATTCCTACAAGGACTATGACTTCGTTCAATCAAATTAAATTTGATTGGCTAACGATTCTTCCACAACTCACTGTTTTCTTTTATGAAGTTATTTTTTTAAACTTAGCATAAGTATTAAACTAATCGGATCAAAACAAAGTAAGAAAAAATATAAAAAAATATGCGAATGGTTCCAGTGTTGTTTGAATTTCTTGGGCACAAAATGATTAGAAAGAATTTTTCTTTTTAATTACAGTTTTTCTTACCAGAAACTCTATGTAAACAAGAGGTGCAAATGCAACTGAAAATCTCAGGTTTTATAAAATATTTGAAAATATTCAAAGATTGAATTTCATTTAAAAACACTGATAACTGAGTAAAGACCACTTTTTCCAAAATTGTAGCCCAGCATAAGATCTGTTATATAGTTTGGACAGATTTGTTGGTACCCTTAAGGACACCATTAACCTTTGCATTAAAATCATGTTTCAAATTAAGTGTTTGAGCTTAATAAGTATCACAAGARCCTTCAAGCTTTTCATCAGCAACTCAGCCAAGGAACAAACAGCCGTTGTGTAGATTTGGTGTGGCTGTGTGCTCCACACTGAACATAACACTAAACATTTAAATSAAATACCAGCGCTGTCTGAGGGGCTCAGAGAGAAGGTTACACATATCCAAGTTTAAGGCTAAAGTAAAAGCTACAAGACCATCTCAAAACAGCTTCATGCTCCTCAGGTGAGAATGAGATGTAAATGGTTGTYTTGTTTGTCTCTATTGGCCCTGTGATGGACCTGTGACCTGTCCAGGCTCCACCCTGCCCCTCCGTGACCCAGAAAAGAAGAAGCAGGTAAAAGAGTAGATGGATGTTCATTCAAAGCTCACTTGATCACAACACATATAGTTTACTGTGACAGCAACACAAAATTTACACATTTTTCTAGCTGTTTTCTTGTAATTTTGAGTTGCTGACTAATCTCCCTACAGTTACAGCTCAGTCAGATTCACCGTAAGCATGAAGGCTGGAATTAAATCAGGTGCTTTAACTAATGATGGTTTTAGATTGTGCACATCTAAGCAGTGGTGGGCAAAATCCAAAAATTAGCTCTGCAATTTCTAAAGCGCTTCTGAAAMTATTTAGGTCCGCAACTTCAAAAGAGCTTGTGCTATAGAAAAACTACCAGAAGCTAATTTTAAAGCACAAGTTAAATTAAACACTTACTAGCTGGCAACAATTCATGTACAATACATGCACAATACTGCCAACTAGTGGTGTACGAAGCCTTCTTAATCCTACAACCACCGATTGCTGGGGATRTGATTTCATGTAACAGATCTTTGGCTCCTGGTGTAAAAATTAAAAAATTGTTGATAATTGCTACTTCGGCTGCTTCTTTGACTTTTTCTTTTGTTCGTTGTAGACTTTTCATTAAAGAAGCATAAATAAAGCAATTTTAATACTGTTTATTGGAAAACTGAGGTGATGCATTCTGGGTACATGACGGATTTGATTTGTGACAGGAAACGAAAGCACGGAGTTCAGGAAACTATCTTCACTTCAAAATAAGAGCTTGGATTTTAAAGTTTTTCATGTTGTTGCTCCAATTGACCACTAGATGTCAGTCTTCATCAGCATAACATCTTTAAACTATTTCTGTGTCTCTAACCCCATTGGCCGATTGCTTCGACCAATTACGTCAAGTATAGAGCTCCAGCGTTTAAACTTTTTTTTAAAGGAGCTCCGATTGTAAAGTAAAATAAATCAATACATACAAAATTTTAGTATGGATTACAAACGTTAACTGTTTTAGCTGGGACAGGGAGTTCTAAACATTGCCTTTCTGCTACGTAAGCAGACACAAAGCACTGTGGGAAATGAGAACTGTGACTGAGAGCAACAGTCAGGAAGGATGTATACCTTTCCAATAAGTGTGTTTATCTGGGAGGGGTGCTGTTGTATAGATCTCGTGTGCTGTGATTCATTGACAGCCAATACCTTCCGCTGTTCAAGATAATGATGACTGGTAGATAATTTGTTATTAGAGGTACTGCTTTTTAATTTTAGAAAATGCAAATCTGCTTATGAATTATAGAAATTAGCAAGACTGCTAAAGCACAAACATAATATTTAGGTCCGCAATTAGCGGATTTACGCTTTAGCGGACTGGTGCCCACCACTGCATTTAACCAACCACTTTATTTCAAATTTATATTTTTCTTAGACTTTCTCAAGATGAGTTAGATTTTTATAACTGTTTCCTCTTATAGCCGCAGTACCTAAGATACCAGCATGAACTACAAACTCTTACCCAAGGGTGTAACTTTAGGTCTACCATTGGG